TGTTAGGTTTAGGGTTAGGTTAAGGGTTAGGATTAGGTTTAGCGTTAGGTTAAGTGTTAGGTTTAGGGTTAGGTTTAGGCAGGGGTGGGTTTCTCGCCCCGTTCCAACCGGTTCGGTTGGAACGAGGCCGTCGGCGTCCTCGCGCACGTGCACGCGCGCGGTGCACGCATGCGTACTAGCGTCTGTGCGATGCTCCAGCTGCTCCTGGAGGATCGCGCAGACGCTGTATGCGTCCTGCGCATGCATGGAAGCGCAGAACTCGTCAAAACCGGGTAAGGAGCACGGGTGGGCCCTTCGCCGTTCCCGGAAGTTACTTACTTCTGGGTTCGCCGCCCAACCGGTTCGCGGCAGTCCCTGCAAACCGGTTGGTCGGCGAACATGGAAGTAAGTAACTTCCGGGAACGGCGAAGGGCCCACCCGTGCTCCTTACCCGGTTTTGACGAGTTCTGCGCTTCCATGCATGCGCAGGACGCATACAGCGTCTGCGCGATCCTCCAGGAGCAGCTGGAGCATCGCACAGACGCTAGTACGCATGCGTGCACCGCGCGCGTGCACGAGGATGCCGCCGGCCCTGTTCCAACCGAATTGGTTGGAACGGGGTGAGAAACCCACCCCTGGGGGGGGGGGACAGTAGACTTTCATCTTATTTCTTTCAGTGTTTAGGTGATGGGGAAGAACTTTAACATTTAATACAAAGCTTGATTTGCGCTCACAAAAGAAAAAAAACCTGACTGTTCAAATCAGTATTTTGCCGCTGAATAATGAAGGAGTGATCCTGGGCACCGGGTTTGGGTGCATATGTACAGGATGTGGGTTGCTTATTATTGGTATAAATGAATATTTTTTCAAAGTATTAAGGAAGTTGGTGTGCTTTATATAGTCTGTCATTTGCTAAAATTAAGTTTGTCTCAAGATTGCAATCTTACCAGCTTAGAAGCCTATTTAGAATGTGCAAAAGTAGGTATAAAAAACAATCTCTTTCATATTTCTCAGGCTGGACACTATAACCTAGAGACATGCTTGAGTGTGGTGTTGCTTTCCCTTGCAATGGTGATGGCAGGATCTGGGAACCTGAAGGTTCTTCAGCTCTGTCGTTTTCTACACAAGAAGACCGGTGGAGAAATGAACTATGGATTCCATATGGCACACCATATGGCTCTGGGACTCCTTTTTCTGGGAGGAGGAAGGTGATCTGAAAAATAATCTTCTGCTTCTTAATATATATAAACTCTGTGTGTGAGAGAGAAATTTCAACCAAACTTGGTACACAGATGACTTACCCTCTGGATAAAAACATTGTGGGGATAATATACCCTAAAACTCCTCATGATGGGTGTTCTGTTGAGATACAGCCTGTTGTGCCTTAAAATGGCTTCTATTGTGCAACACAGTGGAGTTGCAATGGTAACACAGTACTCCACAAGGGGGCTCCCTCTGGTAAGGGGAAGAATCCAACATTAGATATTAGGTTTGGTCCAGACATTTCCCCCCTATAAATAAATACCTGGACAACGCCGAGCCATCCGCTGGTCCTTTATATTTCCATGTATATAAACATCCAGAATGCAAAAAGAAAAGAAAACAAAACAAAAAAACTCCTGAAGAATCTAAGATCTCTTTGAGATTAACAATGGTATACAGATAGACTGCAATGAAGGATACATCTTTGTGTCCACAGTTTTGCTTAGTTATATGAATTTAGGATGATTATAGGCTTGCGAGAACACCAGTCTTTAGATTGGTTGTTTTGTTCAAAGAGGAACAAAAATATGGAAACATTGAAAGGGATCTCATAAGAGCATTTTCAGTAATGTCACTTTCCCCGATGGTCCTTCACTGCTTTGTGACTTGACTTAATAAGACACTGTAAAAAATTCATCTGATGTTCATATGTTTTACTTTCTCGCCTTTTATGGTGCAATTCTTCTTGGTAACTTTTAAAAACCACATCCCCTTGTATTGGTTTTATTATTTATCATCATGCTGCGTAATCATAAGTATAAGAATTTTTTACATTCTCATTATGTAAAAAAAGACCTAGAATAAAGAGCAGGACTGAGTGACATTACAGTGACCCAGAAGCTTAGCTTTGATGATCTGAGTCTTTCCATGCATCTTGCTATAATAATTTCAAATTCTTTCAAAAGCTAGTTTCCTACAAGAAAAATAAAATTTGCAGAAAATGTTTCTGTAAATATGTTTAATTAAAGCGAGTCAATCATGAAGAAAAATATATTTGGTTGATAAGAGCTGACAATGACTTGATGGCATATAATATGTTTTAAAAAGCAAGCCAATCGGGATTGAACTATTCTTCCATCTGTCCATGTAAGACAGTATATTTTGCTTGCAAATTTTGAATGAAATCCCTGTCATCTCCATTTAAAAGCTGTTGATTAATAGAGCTGACAAAACCTTTTTTCGTGATGCCTGTTAAATTAACTGGGCAAGATGACTGAGTAGTCTTGTAGCTCTTTGTAGCCTTTCATTGGCATAGACCTGATACTACGATCATTATAAGTTGGGATCATATTTTGGCTTGACAAGGAAATGCTTTTTATTAACTCATGGAAAAATATTGTTTCTTTGCAGATATTCACTTAGCACTTCAAATTCCTCAATTGCTGCTCTTCTTTGTGCACTTTACCCTCATTTCCCGGTTCACAGTACCGATAACAGGTAACGGATTAGGAAGTACATTTAAAATCTAATGCTACAAATAGTTTGGCCTGATACATTTGTCAAAAAGGTTTCAACTTGTAATGTCTATAGTGCATACAAATTTGTTAAAAATAAAGAAATGTTGAAATTTTTATGTAGTAATTGCAAAGATCTAGAGAAAGCCTAACATTTTGATATCTCTGCTGATCTTCAATTATTTCTTTAAATGTACTGGCTGCCCAATTCCATATTTATTTAATGTTGTAGAATAAATGGAATAATTTTCAGTATGTGTAAAGACGACTTGGGACAGATTGTGGAAGGAAGAGGAAATATGAAAAAACTGTAAAACATCACGGAATTAGAAACTTATTTTTTTCCCTTATGCACCATGCAAAAAGAAACAGAATTTAAACTGATGACACTAAAGTTCTACCGTCAGAATAGTCCCATTGAACTTCTGTGTGCCAGACTGACCAATGATATTCACCAGCTCTAAAATTCAATTAAACCTGTCTGTCTACCCATCTTATCACAGGATGACTCTGGGTAAATACCCAGTCTCTGCAGTCTATAAATATTAATGCACTAAAATCACAACAATTTTGTGAAAAGCTTTATAGATTTTTTAAAATGAATCTTTCTAGGTAAATGAATGAAGCATATATTGTATTTCAGTTATATGAAACTGAAGGTCTAATACCTGCCAGTCTCCAGGCCAGCACAATTGTTCTCTGGCAAAGGAACAAAGTGTTCTTGTTCTCTCTCCCTCTCCCTCTCTCACAGGAAAAAGAAAAGTTACAACTCAGAAATCTTTGTGGTGGGCATATATGCCTGAACCCATGTAAATGTACAAATTCTAATTTCAGACGTTTTAATTCCAAATTTATCCTTGATAACTTCTCAAGGCTCTCCAGAGCATTTCCCTTTTCTCAATAACTATGAAATCTGGATCATTTTGAAAAAAGGGTTTCACAGAATCGAGACCACATTTCTCCAAAAGTAGGACCGGAAGGATTTTTAAATGGATCTTTGGGTATTCATAAGAGATGGATGGATCCGTACAGAAAGAGACACAGCCTAAATTATTTCTTCTCTGCACAGGTATCACCTTCAAGCCCTGAGGCATCTGTATGTCCTGGCAGCTGAACCCAGACTCCTTGTCCCTGTGGATGTGGATACAGATACTCCTTGCTATGCATTGCTGGAGGTTACCTACAAGGTATGTAAATTGTGTGACCTGTGGAGAAAAAAAGGTCTTATTCTCTGAAAGGCTGGTGGGGGAAAATAACTCTTCCACAGTTGCTCACAGGTGAAATTACTGCAGAGTGCGGCCTGACCTGGAGAAAGCCAAACTATCTAGCAATATTCTTTGAAAGAACGGGAGGGATAGTAACTCACAATTGCTGTTTTGAGTTAGGAAATCAAAACTTTCTCAAAATGAAAAAGGATGTTTCTATAAATAATCCAAGGTATGTAATATCTTTGTAAAACATTACAAAGTTATTACATATCTTGTTGATGTAGTGTAAAACATTAGACATTAGAATTTTTATGTAGCTGGTACACTTTATACAACTATCCATCACTAAACCCTAACCCTGCCTCTTGGAACATTTGGTGTATTCCAATTGTTTTAGCTTAAAGCAGACTGCTTCATCTTTTTACCCTGGAATAACCTTTGATATAATTTTCAAATCTCAGGGAAACCCTGCATAAAAAATATCTACAGTTCACAGTACATTAATGTGATCATTAAGTCGTGGATATAATCATCCAATAATAATGGTCAAAGTGCAAAGTTTAAAAAAATTATGTATTTTTTTTCCTATCAAAATCGCTCATAGAACTACTACTGAACTCTTATGGAACTCCAGGGTCCTGCAGATCCTGTTAAGAAAGGTTGGCTTAAAGAAACAGCCACACTCCATACGTAATTTGGCACAACCTTAAGATAAATACATGAAATGAAAGATACGATTATGAAGAACCAGGATATATCAGCTCATTATTTTGTAGTACTGAGGACAGATTAAAGCACTGTCGCTGGAAGCTTCTATGGCAGAATCATCCCATAATAGAGAACCTTAAAATTAGATGATTTTTCCATGTAGTAATCCGTCGGCTTTCTTGAAACCCGATTGTTTCATCCCATGAGATTTAGAAAACATCTTTCATGCCTGTAATGAGAAAAGTAGTATTTTGAATTTGAGATGGGAGTGGAAGGGTGTTTCTATACATTCCATCTGGGGTGTTTGTGCCCATTGGAGGAGAAAAAAACAAATCCTAACTGACTAACTATATATATATATATATATATATATATATATATATATATATATATATAGTTAGTCAGTTAGGATATATATATATATTTCTTTTCTTCCACGGGAAAAGACCCGAATACAAGAAGACCAGCAGGCAGCTTATGTGATTTGTGAATGTTTTCTACTTCTACATTTCATAACTTTTGACTAAATGGTTTTGTATTTCAAAGGGAACTCAGTGGTATGAACAAACATCTGAGGAACTTATGGCACCCACCCTTCTCCCTGAACTTCATTTACTGAAGCAGGTATGCAAGACAATTTTGTTGTGCAAAGTGACTGAGATGTAGCTTCTAAACCCCCACACATGCAGGCAGCATTTCTGAGAATGCATGTTTAATAAGAAGATATTTTCTTCAAGGGCAATACTTCATTATATCAGACTCCCTTGACTTTGCCAGGAGGAGGGATTCTTTAGGAAGTATGGGGACTTCCTCTGAAATAAGGGACTTGAAGTTTTTTTTGTAATCTTATCAATATCTACAGTTTCAATTTGTTATCCTTCCAGATCAGAGTGAAAGGTCCCCGATATTGGGAACTGCTGATCGATTTAAGCAAAGGGGTGCATCATTTAAAGTAAGTGTTATAGTGAACATTCTGGGGAGTTGCACGCTGCCTTGCAATTTTATTGGCTCTGGAGAAATGCTGGAACCCAAATATAAACAGCTGTTTACCTATGGAGATTCTCAATCATCCAGGTCAACCAGAAAGTCCAGTTGCCTCTTGAAAAAGCATCCTTGGGACAAACAGCTGTTTGCTTTTTAATTGTTTGCTACAGATAATACTTAACTTATTTTCATTCTCACAATGACTTATTATTTAGTCCTTAAAGTTACAACTGTTGTGGCACCATCACAGTCACATGATCAGGCACTTAGCAACCTGTGTGCGCTTAAGACCACAGAGGCACTTTAATTCCCTCCAGCCACTATCTCTTCCCTTCTGTGTTGTTAGCTCTCTGTGCTTTATGCCCCTGCTGCCCTAACCGACTTTCACTGTGTGCTTAGTATACTGAAGTATTTAGTATTATATTGAAGTATACTTGAAGTATATAGAAGTATTTGCACTGTACATTCTTAAGTTACATGAGCAACCATACAGAGCATATCTTCTTGCGCTGTTTGTACAAAAAGAATAAATAAATAGTTCAACTCAATATTTCCCTCTTTTTCCCCTCCAGATCAATTCTTTCAAAGGATGGTGTCCTCTATGTAAAACTGAGAGCTGGGCAGCTTTCCTACAAAGAAGACCCCATGGGCTGGCGAAGCTTGCTAGCACAGACTGTAACGCACCGAAAGACAGATGCCTATGCAGTAAAGGTAGCTCTTCTCTCCCTTTGAAATTACCGTGCTATGTGCTACCATCGAATCCAGAGGTGGTATTCAGCAGGTTCTGACCAGTTCTGGAGAACCGGTAAATACCACCTCTGACTGGCCCCGTCCCCATGTATTCTCTGCCTCCTGAGTCCCAGCTGATTGGGAGGAAATGGGGATTTTGCAGTAACCTTCCCCAGGATGGGGAGGGAATGGTCTGACTTAATGTACAGTCACAGCAGGAATTTGCAACCCATAACTTTGATTCTTTAATTAGTGGCAAAATGACCAAATTTTGGTAATGATATTTTTTACTACATATATATGAGGACCTCAGTGATCTGCTCTGATTTCCATCTTCAAAGTCTATTCCCCAAATAGATTATCTGGCTTAAATTTTTGCCTCACCTCTAACTGCAATACAAAATATCATCTTTATTTTGTCCTTTGGCAATATTCCTAGAGAATGTGTATCCTGACCCCCACACCCCTCTCTCCCCAGCCTTCAAATTCAATTCTACTGAAATCATGACCCGTTCCTATAGTTTCCCTAGGAACAATATATTGCCAATTATTTTGCCCAGTATTGACTTCAGATGAATTCTAAAAATCTTTTTATTTCAGGATGGCTTTGGAATCGCTGACAGGTTTCTGTTGAATTTATGACTACAAATAAACAAATAAGTAATAGAACAGGAAATACAAAATAGTCTAAAACTGAAAAACCATCAGGTTATTGCAAACTTGATTGATTGATTTATATACCACCTCATTCTGGAGATTCTGGATAGTGTTCTAATTTTTTTAAAAAATAAAATAAAAGTAATAACAAACCATAATGATCCAGATCCTCTTAAAGACTTCAGAAAACTCACATTGTAACTATTCTCCAAAAGGTGATAAGAATAGAGACCATTCTTGCCTTGGGAGTTAGCAATTCCCAAGGAAGGGAGCAGCCACTGCTTCCCGCTCTCTCTCATATTAAGAGGGGACCTTCAGCAGGCATTCCTCTTTTCACTTTGGTCAAGAGGGCATCTGTCAGAAATGGTGTAGGGTCTCCTGCTTGGGCAGGGGGTTGGACTCGATGACCTTCAAGGTTCCTTCCAACTCTGTTACTCTGTTTGGGAGAGGTTATCTCTAAGATCCCAAGGGCGTGAGCCATATAGGGTTTAATAATCAGTGCATTGAATTGCACCTGGATAACAGAAATGGAATGCTGGGAGCAGGGTGGGGGGAAAGAGAGAGATATCTCTGACAGTGAGAATTATGGAGGATTGGAACTACCACAGAAAAACCCCACCCAAGCCCAGCTCTTGAAAGGTTCAACTCTAAGCAGTGTCTCGTGATTTCATGTGACAGGAAGAATCATTTTGAATATACCATGTCCAACATAGTACTATGTAGAGCTTTATATCTAATAACTACTATTCTGAATTGGGCTTGGAAGTTTATAGATTACTAATGCAATGGCTTAAGAATAAGTGCATCAGCAGTCAGATCCCTGTATTCTGTATTAACCATAGCACCACACGGAGTGTACTCCACTAGTTTAAACAGGTGGAGATTTTTCATGAGTATTTTTCAAGAAGTTCTTTTTACCAAGACACCAATGGTGCTGGTGTGAAAAATGTACTTTCTCATAAAGAATAATAGTTTGCAACCAAAAAAGGGAAATCTTCTAATTTCAAATATCATTTTATTTTTAGCCAGAAGCTATTTCTGCTTTCACATCTGATCCAGCGCTGCTTTCATTTGCTGACTATTTTTGCAAGCCAGCTGCAACTATGGGGCAAGTACGTTGTCAGGTGTAAACCTAGCTGGGGAAATGAGGGAGGGTGTGTAAGGGAATTAGTTATATTGGTCAAAACTTCTAAAGTGTCTAATGCATAGATCATCCTTATCGAACCTGAATTTCTCAGCTATATTGGGCCACAATTCCCATAATTGGCAGCCAGAGGATATGCTGATCAGAAATTATGGGAACTGTAGTCAACGGAGTAATGAGGAGTATAATGGTGAACGTCTATGTAGTTGCAAAGTCACCAATGACTTCATCACCGAAGCTCTAAAAATGCCAAGGGAATTGGTTTCTCCTAACCGTGATGAAATAGTTAATATCTATACACATATTGCATTTTAAATAAATGAATATGGGATTCACTATTCTGCATTTAATTCTGGCTTTCTGATATTGGGATCCAAGAAGAATATGTGATTCGTGTCTATAGATGGAAAACTTTTTTTTAACTGAATGCTGTGTTCTAGTTTAGATAGTGTAGAACATAAAACACTTTTCTGTTGTGCAGAAACTTTGGAAAGGTTCCCAAATATGTTTAGGAATTGGACTAATTAGAAAAAAAGCACAAATGTTTAAAGAGTAGATGGCATGCTTTATAAATATATTTTTCTTGCTTCAGAAACCTGAAGTTTTTGACCTCTTTTCATCCATTCTGTATGAGTGTGTTACTCAAGAGAATCCAGAAATGTTGCCGGCTTATATAGCAATTGATCAGGTATTTTTTTCTCCTCAGCATGTGTTCTTATTCATATATATGCTTATTTTCTAGTTTAAAGTAAACAAAGCATAAAGCATTTGCAATCTACATTTATTTTGATCTCTTGAATTATGTTTTAAAAAGCTTCTTGTAATAATTTATCCTCAGTCACATTTTATTTTTATGCCTTCTAGAATTCAACAAATTTTTATTATTATCTATAACAAACATATATATCTGACGAAAATCAAATTCAGTGAAACATTATCACCTTGTGATAATTATCTTACACATAACTCCTTTGCCCCTACTGTATTAATTTAATTCCATCTTCATTTTCTTTTGTGCTAGGCTGTGAGAAGATTAGAAAAGAAGGAAATGTCTGAGACATTTGATTTGTGGCAGATAAAATTGGTTCTAGAGTTTTTTAATTCCAGAAATCATCAGGAAAGAATAAGAAAAAATCCACATTCAGGACTTTTCATGAATTCAGAATTTTTACCTGTGATGAAGTGTTCTATAGATAATACCTTGGATCAGTGGCTGCAAGGTAAAGCTTTTATTATTTATTTTGCTGGTAGAGTAAGACTACAATAAGTTCTTTCAATTGAAAATGGTTCTACTTTAATTTTGACTTTTAACCTAGAATTGAAGAAAATTAATATGGTAATTAGAAACTCAGTTCTCTGTTGGTGTATAGTAAAGATGGAGGCATATTCATACGAGGGAAGTATCAGTTAGGTATAAGGCAGTTCCAGGATTAGCTGAAGGGAAAAACACACTTTGGAAAAAAATTAAGAGGTACTCCTCTATTAATGATGTGGAATCCATAATGAATCCTTTTTAACTGGTAATTGAGAGAAGAAAGAGGAAATGGGTAATGATGATAGTGAAAGGTATGAAATATCAGAGAGTAAGAGCTTGCTAGAATTTTGAACAGAACTCTACTTTCCAATATTTGGTGCAGATCCCATTTATATCCCCTAAAACATCTCCTTGTGTGTATTTCAGCTGGTGGTGATATTTGTTTACATTCCTATTTAAG